TTTGATTAGAACAACTTGAAAATCGAAATCGAAAACGCTCTTTTAGCCCAATTGACTGAAACTGTTATGACTGCTATGAGTGTTGATAGTACTTGTACATAGAATATAGATACCAGTTATTTGCTGATTCCATTCTGGCTAGTGGACAAATATTTGCCACTTGTAGTGATATTATACCAATATGTTATTGTATTATTATAGACATAATTTTTTAAACAATATTTTTTTTCTCGATGACTTTTAGTAAAGATAATAAGAGTAAAAGTGAAAATGGTTATCAAAAAATATAGGCATGCGTGAAAGCGGTGCATATTAATTTATAATATTATATGTAAATAAAAATATATAGTTTGGTAAATAATTTCGCTCAGTGTCGAACTAAATCTTGGAAAAGGCTTTTTGACTTTTGTTGTGTTTTCTTGCTTCATTACTAAAAAATATTATGAGGTATTTGTTGAGTGTAGAAGTAGAGTTGCAAAGAAAAAAAATCGATTTTCTATACTTACCACAGGGTTTGTTTCCCATATTTATCAAAATATGATTCGTACGATTTGTAGCGTACCTATTTCCCGTCGCTCCAAGTCGTGGATTTTAAATTATTGTTTAAGTCAATTGTAATTGAAAATAATTTATTTTTTAATTAATACAAGTTAGTTTTATAAAGTGTACAAAAATTTGAGTCGTAAAGGTGCCAAAGACTCGACGGCTTTCATACATATCAATATGCTATAATTAGGGACTGCTTTATATGTGACATTCCAAGTCCTTTTCTCCTAGACCTGAGTTCCATAAATTTGGCTTCAGACACGTTGTTGTATTCTTTGGAAGTTTTTTCTGTCGACCTGCGCAAATAGTTGAAGTCCGTGTACGTGCCACTATAGTCGGAGGCGTTGGGGCTTGCTATTACAAAATATATTTTACGAGTTCCGAGAATCGTGGGATCATTACATTTCAGCAAAAAAAAAGATTTATGCCCGTAAGACAAAAATCTTTACAAACTTTCAAATATGTTGTATACTTAATCCAAATATAATATTAAAAAAATTTTTTTTCAACATTTTATTGTGGCACATGATATTTACAATTTTCGTTATTATTTGTTGATAATATTATTTCTTAAATAATACAGTAGAAACTCGTTTAATCGTCAGTGTTGGGACCAGGACAATGACGATTAATCGAATAGACGGTTAACAGAAATTTCTTAATAATCGTATATATTTTACATTATACTATTACTATAGATGCTTTTATTTTATTTTTAATATGTATTTATCCTTTTTTCTTATATAGCTTATACAACTTAGTTGGTCTGATGACCGAAACGATATAATTAAAAAGTATTTTATCAGAATGACATCGGACTCTGAATTGTGACAGTGAGCGATGTGGTGATTTTTATCACAGATCAGTCCATGTGTTTCCAGTAAGATCAACATTCTGCCATTTTTATTTACTGTTTCGTTATACCCTGAATTTAATAGTTCCTTATAATATACTCTATAAATCTGCTAGTTTTATGTAAATAACATTGTTATTCTTGTCGCTATAAGATGTTATGTTTAAAAATCTTAGTTTATCCTTTCATCGTAATTATTTCATGTATGTACACATATATCTGTAGTTCCATTCTAAAAAATAATTAATGTTTCCCTATCACTTATGTGAAAATACTATTAAAGATAAGTTGTAAGTAGATTTAATGACCCCTGCAGATTCATGTTCTTTTTCAACTGTCTATATTTATCAACTTATTATGAATTGTAATACTAAAAGTAAATTAATTATTTTGATAAGTCGAAAAATATATCACGAAATAAACTTGGTGATAAAGGATAACAGACCGTTTTTGTTCAGAATAGTTTTGCGTATACAATTATAAATTATTGAATTAAAATTTAATATTCCACATTCATAATAGTGATTTACTCAATATTTAATATATAGTAGAATGGTAGCCACTAGCCTACCTTTGATGATTAATTCGTTTAAATTAGTCGTTCACAGCCTTTTTCATTTGTAAAGTATACCGGACACTTTGGTATTGATGTTAAATGAACGTTTCGAAGAAAATAGACTAGTAAGATGTAAAAATATTTTGTTAAAGAACAAAGAGACACATTTTAATAAGATGTTACGCATATTTTTGGGAAATCAAAGTGAATAAACAAAATAATATCTACATAAAGTGGTATTATTTTATTATACTTGTGATTAAATTAAACTTTGACCACAATATCATGTCTTGTCCGTGGCAGTGAATTTATTTATTTATTTTTTAAAGATTCATGTGTTTTGCACAAAAAACATAATATTACATAGATGTAAAACAGTTGCAGGTGCATTAGAATATATAAAATGTTGTCTCTCCTTCTCAATCGAGATGACACTTTTGTAAAGAATTGGATTAAAAAACTGATTTATTGATGTTGATATAAATGCTGATTCGCATGTATTATATATCATAATGTTTACGCATCGTTGATTCATGATTCATAATACTTTTATGTATTTCTTTGTCGATTTTATTAAAATTGTTTATGTAAACGCGCGAGGTTAGGTTGTCAACCATACGAGCAGATGCAAGACAACAACAGGTTCTAGAAACCCTAGATCGTTGACATTGCAGTAATCGCATTTGTTTCTCTCCCAAGTGTACAGTATAATATTGTTATAAGAACGACGATCAGCATATGCACTGCAAACGGGTTGAATAACTGGCATGTTTGATAATAATAATAATAATAGTAAAAAAACCGAGACGGAATGCGGCGGTGAAGACTCATCTGCTGACTGCTGTACACTCTATTGCACTCGACGATGACGTCACGATGCGTTCAAAATAATATAATCAAACAAATCTAACTAACCGTCCAGTCAAAAGAGCTACAGCATTAATCGGCCGAAACGATTTTATGCTTATTGCATATGTATATTATAATAATAGTGATGTAAAGTTGTTACGTGATGATAATATTCATGGATAATATTCTCAAAAAACGGAGAATATTCGGTAGGTAGGTAATTTTCTCTTTTATACCCACGTTTTGACGACTTAATATATTATATTAAAAGCTTATTAAGCTTTTATAACATTTTTATCATATACATTTCCTCGAATGACATGTATTTTAATATTGTTTTGTAGGTAAAAATAAAAAATGCGTTTATATAAAATAAGCAAATGACTTTTTAGGGACAATATTAAATTGGCATAATGATATAATATTAACATTTAATAAACTATGTACCTATTTTTATTATAGGCGTATAAAAAGAAAAAAATAAGTTTTACATTATCGTTAGATTAAATAGAAGATACATATGTGTATATTATATAATAAAAACGTGAATGTTGAGCTTTAGTGTTGATATACTCGTTAGTACATAAGTTTAAGAATAAGTTACAATAAAAAAAAAGTATGTTCATTTTTTTAATTTTCAACTAGATACGTGTGATGTATAATATTAATATTATCTTTAGAAAATCAGCCAAATCAGGGTACATGTGGTAGAAATTAAATGATTATCTCATCAGTCTTAGTGGCATAACCAGAGTTTACAAATTGTTGGTTAGGAGTGAGGGAGTTCTCAAGTTAATTGTCCTACTTAAGTGTCGGGTGCCGTAATGGTTATTGTTGTATAATTATTATATCACAGAACAGTGGTTTCCAAAATAATCTAACCAGTGTCGCGGAATATGATCTGATTTAAAAATAATTTAAAATGATAAATCATGCTTTGATTTAGGAAAAAACGTCGTGGGAAAACTTACTTTTAAAAGGGTCACCGTGAGTCGATAAACTTTGGGAACAGCTGCCATAGAAAAGAACAAAAAACAAAATGAACAATGAGGTGGTGAAAGATACAATACAAAAAACTTTCTTGACTGGGTTACCTTCGTACCCTAATCTAACTTGATGAACAAGAATAAATAAATATTGAAATCGGTTTTAAGAATATTCTCTCCGTGAGAGTATTCTTTCGAGAACGTTCTCTGCTAATTTATACTAGTTTCCTTATCTGGTTATCCACGAACTCCCTTTTTTCGCGTGGTTCTTCAACTAGGACGGCGATCACGATACAATAACTTCCAACATGAACTCCTAGGTGTAAGGTGGTTTTTTGGAGGTCCACGCAGTAATTTTTATTATTTTCAGTTGATCCAATAAAATTAATTTTGTTAAAATAATTTATACTATACCTATTTTTCAACCAATCAGTTTAAGTAATTGTAATTTAGACGTATCCTTTTAATTTTTTCTTTTTTTTTTAAACTTCTTTATAAATAATATGCATTTTTGTTTTAGATTCTGCCCATTCAAAATTAGAGAAGATGTTATATGAATATGTTTATTATTATTTTTTCGTAAATTTGAACAATATTGATAATATTATAATTGATTTGTAATCAGAAAAAAAAAATAGCGCATCAAAAATTTTCAATCGGACATTTTATCCAATTCTGTGCACGTCGCATCTGACGCCCGTATCCGTAGCAATTAAAATCTTTGATTCCGATCGTCACTGTCTATCACATAATATTTCTGCGCGCAAGCATGGATTTTCTGGTTTAATCGGGGCGATTGGGGTCCATGGCTAAACTATTGGTATAAAAGGGGTTCGTTAACTAGATGAGGTTAAGAACCCTTGCTCTGTATACGTACAGTCGCGCGTGATTATTATCGACAATCGACCCAACACCGTTTAACATTTTTATTTTTATTTATTTTTAATTTTTTCTATCAAACTATTAACGTTACGTACGCATACAGGTCGCGCCCGACCGTGACCGAGACTTAAACGTCCGCCGCCTCGCGTTCGTCCGACTTTGTGGCTATAAACACGACAATGACAATAACAACAACAACAACAACTAAAAAATACGCAAATACAATGACAGCACGGTAACCCGTTTGGCGGCGGCGGCAGGAACAGGAGCAGGAGCAGTGTCACCGCCGCGGTCCATTGTCTGCGAACGTTTCATTGTGTCGTCGACCGTCACCGCAGCGACACGCACATCATCGTCACCGCCGTCATTTGGCCCAACAATGGACCCAGCGACGGTCGCGCTGATGTTGTCGTTCTCGGCGTTGGCCGCGATGGCCGCCACCGGCAAACCGCCGAGCGGCCGCGGCGCGTTCGGTTACCCGGACGACGATCACGTGATCATCACTCAGTACGGACCGATGCGGTACGAGCCGATCGCCGCCGACCAGATGAACAGACCGTACGACGGCGGCGCCGCCGCCGCGAAAACCGCTTCGTCCGGCGGCCGCGGCTATTACAAGGCCGAGGTGATACCGTTGGACATGAACACCTGGAAGCCCGCGGCCGGCGCGGACGGCCGCTGGGTCGGCAGGTCGGCCGCCGGTGGCCGGGTCGATTCGTTCGACGTGCCGCTCCGCGTCGGATATTCGGTGCGGCCAGCGGCGCGACGACGCCGACACGATTACCACCTGCCGATGGGTTATCGGCCGCGATCGCAGCAACCGCGGTGGAACCACGACCAGCCGGCCGTCCCGCGCCGGCGCATAGACCCTCCGGAGGTGCCGATCCGACCGCGGTTTTTTGAAGGAAGGGCACAGTTCGCTTGAAGCCTAACACAATGAACCAAACGAACTACGAACACTGCG